TTGTAGACCAACAGACTTCAAAAGAGAGACATGTTTGCATTCAATTGACTGATTTTTCTCAACTCTTACTAAATATGCTGCAATATGACATAATTGCAACTTATTCTAACATGTGGGGGCCAATTTCATATCATTTGATTTGCTTTTAACAAAAGTTTACTGACATTAAATAACATCTCTGAAAGTGATAAGTTCAAAGTTTTGCAGTTTACCACATGCAGTAACATATTATTTACTTTAGGAATTCTGTTATCTTTTGTGTGCTATGTTTTATATGAAGAGTTGAAATTTTTAATATGAATTTTCCATTTTTCCAGAATTATTTTGGTCCTCAAACCCAAGATACTTCAACTTCTTTTTTTGAGTTGAACCTTTTTTTAAAAAAAAAATTTTATTTATTTATTTGAGAGGCAGAGTTTCAGAAAGAGAGGAGGAGAAATAGAGAGAAAGGTCTTCCATTCCCTGGTTCACTCCCCAAATTGCCACAATGGCTGGAGCTGGGCCGATCCCAAGCCAGGAGCCAGGAGTTTCCTCTGTGTCACCCACTCAGTGTAGAGGCCAAAGCACTTGGGCTGTCCTCACCACTTTCCTAGGCCATGACAGAGCGCTAGATAGGAAGAGGAGGAGATGGGACACGAACCTGTGCCCATATGGGATGGCAGCACCACAGATAGAGGCTATCTCACTATGCCACAGCACTGGCTCCAAATGGTCTTATAATAATGCATTTGTGAACATCTTGTTTTTGATCAGAGGTAGATGAGATTTCTTGGCACTTTTCCCTCTAGAATTGGAGGCAAGTTGTAGAATTCAGAGAACAACTACAGGAAAAAAGAGGCTGAATTACAGATCCATTGCCCCCTTGTGAGAAGAATACTGAGGCATTTGGCTAAATGCTTAGAGTAGTGGCATTCAAACAGAACAGCAATGTAGCAATCTTGATTCGTGTATACACCTTTATGAGTGGGTTTTTACCCTCTTTTCCATTGTGAGTTTGATGGGTCCCATTCCTCCTAGCACTCCAATAAATTCAACAGCCTAGAATATGTTTTTGTTGGTATTTAGTGATCTCAGTAGCCTGGATAACACTCATGGGAGTACCTTGATCACCTTGAGAGGTTTATCCAATTACAAAGACAATTATGATTGTTCTCTGCCTTCTCTGTTTAGGAATAGGAGTCCATATTGAATCCCAAAGAACTGTCTATAGATGAACTACCACTAAGCAATCTAGGAAAGATAGATGATCCAAAACAGCCCCTTCATTTCAAAAAGGACACATGTTTACCATGCCTACTTGATAACACAGTGTTGTCGAAATTGGTTAACCAGGGAATCTCTCATGCCAAGTCTCTCTAGCTAAAGAGAAAGCCCGAGTTCTGAGGTATTCTGATGATCTGAAGAGATCTCCCAATAACATATTGCAACCCCAAAAGACAGAAGAAATGAGATTTAAAACAATTGTATACCTTACAAGGGCATATATTTCTATTCTGGAAGAACAGTATGAAAGAAACATATTGCTCATAAAACATACATTCATTCCCATTCACAGAATTTTTAAATTGAACCAACCAATTTAAAAGTTCTTGTATACTGATTCCTTGAGAAGAATGATTGTGTTAATTTCCCGAAGAAATTGTCCACCTTTAGGTTGATCTCTGAATTCTGTGTGAAGAGTGGTCTCAAAGCTTCCTTTTCTCTACATTCAGAGCCTGTCAAGGCTGCTTGTTACCTGGTGCACATTCACATGGAAATCTGTGGTGAGGAATCCAAAATATTTGAGTGCTATAGATATGCTTGTGCCTGATAAGGATGGCTGTGTGAGGATGTCCAGTAGGTTAGGGTAGCATGATTTCCAAGTCTAAGCACTGCTTTGTGTGTGTGTGTCTGCCAATGACAGGACTCTGTGCTGTCACATCCACAGGTGCAGATACCAATCAGAAAAGCCACATGGTTTATTTTATTTGTTTGCTTAGATATTAACTAGATAATTACACGAACAGAGAGCATTTGAGGGCTTAAAAGAAAGGTGAGAAAAACAAAGGAGCTAGAGGATGAGAGCCTGCAGAGGTGAGGTAGGAGATGATTAGAAGCTCCATGTACACAGCAGGGCACAGCAGGAAGAGAGAGAGGGCCAGAATTGCAGACGTTGAAAACACACAAAAAATTCAGGGATTCATTAAAAACGGAGACATTACAGGCTTGAGGTTGGAGGACTTGGAATGAGGACAGGATGAACTGAAGCCAGGCAAGGATAACCCAGTGTTTCTGTGTCTGGATTATAGAAAAGGCAGCCTGAAGAATTCTCTAAGTTATACCCACCTGGGAAGGAACACTGGGATGTACAGTCCTTTAGTTGACAAGATGTAGGCTGGATCTGAGATTATATGTAGAGAGGGCTTTGCTTACTCCCCAAAATACAAGTTGAGAAATTGCGAGAACAGATTTCTGTTGAAATAGGAATGAGTAAAACGACGTCCTTAAAATTTAACTTCATTTTTTTCCATAAAATTGATATTCCTAGAGCTCCTATGACAACAGGTTCTAGGCAATAGATTCCAAGCAAAAAAGTTCCTTGTTCTCACAGAACTCTTGTTCTAATGGGAGGAGACAAACAATAGAGAAATGGGTAGGTAACTAAAAGAACTAGGATGAATTGTGAGAAGTGGGCATTTGGCACAGCTGTTAGAATGCCTCTTGGGATGCACACATCTCATCTCAGAGTGTCTGTGTTTGAGTCCTGATTCCTCTAATTCCAGCTTCTGGCATTCCTACCATCCATGTGAGAGAACCAGATTGAATTCTCATTGCTAGTGTGTATTTTGAAACCCACCAAAGTTATTACATGGATTTTACTTAAAATCAATTATTACCTTTGAAATTACTATTATAAGTGTTGGGATTCATTGTTTTTAAGGAAGGGCTATTTAGATGTTTCAGTGGGTTTTTCACATAAAGAATCAGTGATTCACTCTCTCAGGGCTTTAGAGAAGCTGCCTATGACTGTCAAAAATGACTGCCGACTCTGGTCCACGTCCCAGTAACTAATTGCTCTCTCAGTCACATAAAAGAAACATTAAAGTATAATTTAAAATCAATCCTAGCCAAGGTACTATTTAAATACTAAAATATATGTAGATTCCTTTCTCCCAAAATCATGACAATTACAATCATTTAGCATTTTACATATTTAGAAGTAACTTAAGAAAAATTAAAACCTTAAGGTAGAATCTTATCTTTTAAAAGGAATTTGACAGCAACAGTAAGCTTGTGTTCTAAATATTAGATAAATTTGGAAGCCAGGGAAGATAATGAAGATCCCAAGACACTTGTTTTAATCAGTCACAATAGAGTAGCTACCAGGCAGTGGAACTCATAGAAGGGAGTAGTGTATTCCCTGTAGCTACATTAAATGTTCACATCCTAGAAGCCAGTGATATCCTATGCGCCTGGTTTCCTAAGGAACTTTACAAGTTCAGCAGTTCAGAAGCCTTGTCCAGAGTTTGTTTGCTTTGTACCAAAGTTCCACGCTCTTTAAATAAATCTAGGATAATGATTCTAAAATAGAACAAGTTTGCAGAGTTAACAGAAGTGCCCAAGGGGATTCCTGTAATTGTTTTCTCACATCATTAATAAAAATCATCCCATATAATGAAGAAAAATCTCAACAAAATGATATTGAAAACTTCAAATTACCATTTCTTTCATAGTCAGTGGTAATTCCCTGCTGAAGGCAGATGAATTTATATCTTTTGAAATACAGTTGATTCCAGACACTGCATGCAAGTGCTTTGGAATGGTTATTCCCATGAGGTATGAACTCTGATATATTTGTTTACTTCAAAGTGAAACAAGAATCCTGGTTACATTTTAGTAAGAATGGATTTGGTAAGAAATTATATACAATCATCTTTTCATTCCTGGGATCTTAGCAATTAGTTTTTTAATGCAGTTTAACAGCTGAAAAAGAGTTTGTGTACTAAGTAGCAGACCCATGACCAGGGCTAAAGATGCTAGCTAGATAGCCCCAGCTTCACAGAATATCCCTGGGGGAAAAAAAAAAAAGAGAGAGAGAGAGAGAGAGAGCCCCTCTCTCCAGGGAAGTATTTACTTAATATTGAATAAAGGTCACAAGAACCAGTGTATAAACTTCCAGACTTTTAAATTGACTTTACATTTGATTAGATTTTTGCTTGGTAAATATTTTTTTTCTCTTCCCTGTCAGTTTTAGGTTTGATTATGTGTCATTGTACATTCAGATGTGACTTTGCACTCACAGGGAATAGAAGGGAACCTCTTTCACTTATGATCAGTTAGTAGGGATACAAAACACTCTTGAAGCTGTGAAAACTTTAAGCGCATTACCACATATAAACAGCCTTTCACTTTCTGAACAAGCCTTAGACTCCCTCCATCCCAAACTGGGATGTGTTTCAAACTAAGATGTTCTATATCAAGGGAAAGTTTGGTTACTACCAGTTTATAGCTTACTTTTACAAATTGAAGATACAATAGAAAGAATTTGTCTAAATCTATGGTATTTTATGGTGAAATTTCACAAAAACACAAAAGGAGCAAGGTACTTAAGTAATATGCACCAGTGTGTGCTGCAGAGCTCCTGAGAATGCTGTTTCATATTAAAAATACTGCTTGGCTAGAAGGGGTGGATATAAAGATTCCCTAATCATTTGATATGTTTGTGGCCATCTCTTCATGAAAAATTGAAAAAAATAATTATGATACATATGAGTGCAGAAAAAGATTTTTAAAGAAATTCATTGCTATTTAAAGACAGAGGAATATTTGGTATTGTTTACCAAGGGTTTTACAATTGCATTCTTACAGGACAAAATAACTGGAAGAAAATTGAAAATTCCAAAATCTCCAGAACCAAATCTCTATAAAGTACTTATTACTTTTCAAGTGAGACTTTAAGTTAAAGTGCCATGATGAATATTTATAACATTCTACAACAATTTACTGTTATTTATTTACAGGCTTGTACAGCATATGTGGATTTTATGATTGCTGTGGCCAAATTGATTCGTCAGGAAGAAGGATTGCCTATTGATGAAAACCAGATTTCTGTGGAAATGAATAAAGTTATGGAATTGGAAAAAGAAATAGCCAATGTAAAACATCTTTTTTTTATACACTGAATAATTTTAGCCACTTTTCCCCCCTTTTCCATCACTATCATATTTTAAGAGTAAAAAGTACAGTTGTTTAACCAGATGATAAGAATGCATAGCTCAGTATTGAATAATTGGCTTCAAGATCTTTGAAACTAAGAATATTATGGGAAACTGGGCCACTGACATCCAAAAGTTACACTGAATTTGAGAAATATTAAACTAATATACTTAGTTGCTTATTATAAGTGGATTACATCAAAATCCTATAGTTGATGTCCTGGAGACTCCAGGTATATGCAAAGCTGCTTTGATTTTGATATATAGAATGTTTCTTTATTTTAAGGTTTATGGTCACAGAGACTGTATCTATCCCTTTGCTAATAAGTATTAGCCTCTGTGTCGCAGTGTGATACCACTGGGTTCAGACTGCCTGGCTGCTGAGCTGAGAGAGATCAGACAGGGAAAATTTAACAAGAAAGTCCAAGCCAGTGTTTTCCTGCATTTTCTCTATTCTAGTTGAACCCTTGGAGCCTGAGCTGGCACTTTTTTCTCTGACTGTTCTCTCTCCCTGATGGGGTCCTGCGGTTTCAAGCAAGTGAACTCTGAGCCTGAGCAATATCTGGATAGGTTACTAATTGAACCCATGGTCTGATTCAGTCTGGGACCCTCGGAGTTCTCTTTGACATTGCAGTCAACAACCTGCACCGCTAGCTCCCGGTCCACTCACCCTTGCAATTTGGACTCATTAGACTCGCGAAGAATGAAGATCTTTGAGAGCAATTATAGCTTTCCTGGGGCCAAATGAAATCAAAATTCTCCAGAGCTAGACTATGCCCGGAGCTGTAGCTCGATGAGTGACAGTTTGATGGGTTATATGTGGCTCTATGTTGAAAACAGAATTCTTAGAGATCAGTTTCCTGACCTTGGTTTTTACAACTCATATTTTTCCAGATCATGCTCCCCTCCCTTTGCTCATTCTTAGGCCTTCAGAAAGCTATCTCAGAAATAATAGTGACTACTGATATATTCACTCCTGTCCACTGACTTGGAGATTGGCATAGGGTCTTAGTCATCTTGGAATCACCTGTGTATCTCTTGACATTGTCCAATATGGCACCCCATCCTGGAGACATTCAGAAAATCATTTTTTATTTCAGTAAATAAACATGTGCCCTAAAGGGAAAATTGGTGCCATGGTTACTGAGAAATAATTTCCATTTTAAACATGAAATTTTTGTCTCTTCTCACTTAAATTGTGTTTACTCATTTCAACCACTAGTTGGGGGCTTGCTTTCACAGTTTTCTTTATTCCTTTTTTTAGCTTCAGTGAAGACAAAATAAAATTGGATGCTGTTGAATGTAAAGCACTAAGAAATTGGCTAGGCAGCCAGGACAGTCACAAAAGTAGATGGTGTTTCATTCTCCCTGGATAACTTGCAACCTAACTCTACTATTCACTAGGAATTTTTTGTGCTACTTGCCATAAATTCCTATAGAAATGGTTGCACTTTTATTTTTCCTGGCCAATTTTAACAAGGACATTGAATAGTATTGGTGAGGGTGAGAGAGAAAGTATTTGAGACAAATTGGAGAAGATTATATCTAAGACAGTTAAAATATGAAACAGCTACAGACATAAATGAGTTGGCTGTTAGCCATAGCCAGAAGTACTACTTATGTGTCTCAGCAGTGATCAGAATTTAAAAAGACTTTTGAAGAATTTCAGACTTGACACCCAGCCAGATCTCAGTTACTGTCATTGAATTTCCTGAAAATCTCTGAGATTTCACTTTTCTTTCAGATATGAAAAAAAAAATAAGTGACAAAGCAAGTACTGAATAGCACTTAAACCTATTATGTTGTATTTTTCTTGTATAGTTTTTCCCTATATTGTAACTATACTTTTCTGAAGAATTCTTAGTTCTAAAATAATGATCAAACATTAATCAATAGGCTACGACTAAATCTGAAGATAGAAATGATCCAATGCTTCTCTATAACAAAATGACATTGGCCCAGATCCAAAATAACTTTTCACTAGAGATCAACGGGAAGGTATGTATCCTCTTATTGTGCAACTTCCTAAAACTATAACATTGAAATACTGTTTGTTTACATTTGTAGATTTCTCATTTATTGAAATAAATTGCACTTCAGAATGAATTAGATACCAGCCATTTCACAACAAGATCTGAAAAAGACATTTGTAATTTTTATATATGCATAATTTGTGTGAGTGTGCATGTGTGTGCACATTATAAAGTTGATTGTATTTCAAAGGTGCAATATCTTTCAGTTGTGTAGCTATGAAATAATATTAGAGACTATCAGAAAAGGGTGTGTGGAAAACATGAAAACTGAAACACTTTCAAAGGGACCAGCACTAGATCTCTTTTAAACTCCTACAAAGGAAGTTTTACTCATGAAACTTTCATGTTCTCATCAAGACCATGTATGGGGGTATTCAGAACAATAACAGAGAAACAACACAGAAATAGGAAGAAATCTCCACCATGGTGTCCATTTATAAATAGCAATTGACTTATTTTTGCTTAACTAGTATCTAATAATCTGTAGGGCTTATGCACTTGTTTTTGTGTATTGGTTGATACATGTGGTTGAGAAATGAAGCAACATCCATAGGTAAATCTACAAAGTACCACAATCAGTGAAAAAAATTCTTTTTAGCACTAATTCTAGTGAATAAGGACTTTTTAGAAGGCATAACTACTGAGTTAAGTATTTCTTACATAGAACATTTTTAATATAATGAACATTTAACCTATATGTTTTGAAAAATATTGTCTAAACCACCATGGAGAATCAAGAAAAGTATGTAGGCTAGCAATTCATACTTAGTACATGATCAGTATGTGTGTGTGGGTATATATGGGTGAGACTCTGATATTGATAATCTTAAACATTCTCAATTCTCACTTAAACCATAACTGAAAGAGTACCATATTTTGGCAACATTGAACTTAATTTCTGAAGTATGAACCCTGCATGCCAGGGGAAGGCATTGGGCACAGCAGTTTAGACATCACTTGGGACACATGCCCCCCACATCAGTGTAACAAGGTTCAAGTCCCAGTTCCACTTCTAATTCCCTCTTCTTACTAGCATGCACCATGGGAGGCAGCAGGTTCAAGTGCTGGGGTCCCTGCCACCTCTGCAGGAGACCTGGAATGGGTTCCAGGCTCCTAGCTTCAGCTTGATCCGGTTTCAACCGTTGCAGGCATTTAGGAAGTAAATTAATGGATGGAAGATCTCTGGCAATCTCTGTCTCTCTGCCTTTCAAATAAATGAGTTGTTTTTAATGTGGTCCCATAGACCCAATTTGATCATTTAAAATGCATTGTTGGCTTCATAACATCACTGTACCTGTGCTGCAAGTTTTCGTTTATAGCAAGAGCTCCACTGAGCTGTATTAACATCCACCTTATAAGATAAATATTTTCATTTTTGCATAAATCAAAGAAACTATTTTTTATAATTTTCATTGAGCTACTTTGTTTATTTAATAGGCAGAAAAATAGAGACAGGCAGAGAAGCAGAGATCTCCCATCTGCTGCTTCAGTCCCCAAATGCTACAACAGTTAGAGCTGGGCAAGGTTGAAACCAGAAGCTGTGAACTCAATCGTGGTCTCCCAAGTAGGTGGCAAAAACCCAGTTGTTGAGCCATCTCTATTGCCTCCCAGAGTGTGCATTACTGTAAAGCTGGAATTGGGAGCTGAGCCAGGCCTCACATCCAGGCACTCCAGTATGGAATGAAGGCATTCCAAGCAGCAACGTAAGTGCTGCACCCAATACCCACCCTAGAAACTATATTTTTGAATTTAAATTTCTTTCTCTTTTTTTTAATATTGGTTGTACCAAAAAGATGGACACTGCCCAATATCTAATTGTGTGTTCTCTAAGCTTAGTGGTTTTGCTTTTGCTCTCAAATAGTTGGTTTAATTCTGCTATCTAAATAATCATGTTGCAGAAATAAATTTTAGTTAAAAAGTTATTGGAACAGGGATAATCTCCAACAGAGAACAGCCTGATCATTGTGGTATTTATTTAGTGATTTGACACCCTTTAATGTCTGACCCTCTAACCATAAGTGAATGAATCTTGGAATGGAGAAGAGAAATCTGTAATTACTGTGTGTTTTATGCCTACTTTTTCTCCAGCCATTCAGCTGGTCAAATTTCACAAATGAAATCATGTCAACAGTGAATATTAATATTCCAAATGAAGAAGATGTGGTTGTTTATGCTCCAGAATATTTAATCAAACTTAAGCCCATTCTTACCAAATATTCTCCCAGGTAAGTCTCTCAGAGTGCCCGTGTCCTCAAAGTTTACATTTCATGTCACTCTTTAGAAGCTTTGCAGCCTCATCTTTTCTGTTGCTGGGTGGTGGGTTTTTTTATACAGAGATCTTCAAAATTTAATGTCCTGGCGGTTCATAATGGATCTTGTAAGCAGCCTCAGCCGAACCTACAAGGACTCCAGAAATGCTTTCCGCAAGGTGAAGAAAAAATCTCTTTTCTTAAGACTTAAAGCATAAGGAGATACGTGATTATGAAGGCTTGCCTGTACACTGCTAGAATGTGGTGATCTTTGCCAAGAGACACAGTGTGAAATGTTGCTTACTGTGCACATATGTAGGAGATACTGCCTAGGAAGGATACCAGTCTTCATGGGCCTTGCCATTCATTGGTAGTCTCCAGTGGCACCAGACTTCTATAGCCCTGAGAGCAGTTATTTTATTTGAGCAGTTCATGAAAGAATGCCTTGATTTTTTGTTGTTGTGTTAAAAGTAATTGCAGGGGTATTTGTTTCAATTAACCTGACTCATAGCACACTGGACATAAGCACAAATGGACATTATTGGTTCAGACAATCCACTGAATGTATAACTCCTTGGAGGGAACTTTGTAACCTTTTGTAAGACTTTACCTGCATTATCTAAACAATCATCATTTTAGTCCTATTATGAAGGGACTGGGCAGAGGGATTGAGGAAGAAGAGATTCTAGCAAACCTACCAGGTAGTGTAATGGAAAGAAAATTACCCTTGATTGATTGAAACATATAATTTTTACTCTTAAATGAAGATACAGACACCTTTTTAAAATTCAAGAATGCAAGAATTATATTGTGCTAATTTTCTTTACTTAGGTTAATCCCTTTGTTGATAATAAATTTACACACGGCCGGCGCCGCGGCTCACTAGGCTAATCCTCCGCCTAGCGGCGCCGGCACACCGGGTTCTAGTCCCGGTCGGGGCGCCGGATTCTGTCCCGGTTGCCCCTCTTCCAGGCCAGCTCTCTGCTGTGGCCAGGGAGTGCGGTGGAGGATGGCCCAGGTGCTTGGGCCCTGCACCCCATGGGAGACCAGGAGAAGTACCTGGCTCCTGGCTCCTGCCACCGGATCAGCGCGGTGCGCCGGCCGCAGCGCGCTGGCCGCGGCGGCCATTGGAGGATGAACCAACGGCAAAAGGAAGACCTTTCTCTCTGTCTCTCTCTCTCACTGTCCACTCTGCCTGTCAAAAAATAAATAAATAAATAAATAAATTTACACATATACAGCTCTTCTAAAACACCCAAAGTTCAGCTAACACATTCAAAAGCAGGAATGTGTTTTCTTGTATGACAGATTTCTCCCCTGTTACGTTTATTGAACATCACTTCACATTTATGGTTATGAGGTCGTTACAGTGTCATGTTTTTTTCTAAAACTTTCTAGAAGGATGTTAACTTGTAATAACCAAAAGTTCTATACCTCTGAAAATACGCCCTGTTTTCACATCATTTAAGTAAACAATCCAGGAGGATTGCATTTTATCATAGGCTAGGGATACCTGCACTGTGAGAAGACATGAGTATTGCAAGAACTTAATGGAGACATAAAGAATACTTGTGTGAAATTTGTGCTCTTGCCATCCTCCAACCCTCTACTCCTATCAAACGCCATATCTTCTTCCTCTTCCATAGGCCCTTTATGGCACCACATCAGAATCTGCAACTTGGAGACGTTGTGCAAACTATGTCAATGGGAATATGGAAAATGCCGTGGGAAGGCTTTATGTGGAAGCAGCGTTTGCTGGAGAGAGTAAACATGTGGTAATGGCTTTAGCATAATACCTTATCAGTTATGCGGTACATTATCTGTTTGTTTACACTGATGGGAAATTGTAATTGCTTATAATTTAGTTACAATTTGCTTAGTTAGGCAGAGAACCTCTGAATCATTACCTGCCTTTCTTTTCCAATAAATCTCACCCTACCTCCCCTGAGGGTCTAGTTTTGTTTTTGCTCTTACTATTGTTTAGTCCAAAATCAAGTGCCCATTTTCCAGTGTATTCAGATTACCTAGTCATACATTCTATTGATAGAGTCACGTAGAAACTCTCCCATTATCAAACTTGATCAAGAATTTGCGTTTTCTTACAAACCAGAAAATAAACCAGGGTTTATTTAAAGTACAAGAAATTCACTCCATTTTTCATTTTTTACTGAAATGATGACAATGGAACTTAGACAATATGGTGAAGGAATCTATTGAAATGCTACTTCATGCTTAATTAAACCACTAATGGCAATGACAGCTAATGTTTTATGATAGTGCTATGTGATGTTGGAAAGCATTACATCCTGGAGAAGAACTTTAAATTTCTTTCATATATTAAAGTCTCTGTAATCAGGAGTGTTGATAGTAGCAAAATGGCTTAAAAATACAATGATCCCATAGATCCATTTTCTTTGGTTTGTCCATGAATTCACAGGCGTTAACATAGTATTGAGTTGCATTAAAAACAGGGCATGTCTCTCTATTAAAATGTTGCATTATAAAGAGTGAATGAATTACTCAAATCTGCCTTCTGTAATTTTGACTTGAGGTTGAGGATTTGATTGCGCAGATCCGGGAAGTTTTCATTCAGACTTTAGATGACCTCACCTGGATGGATGCCGAAACAAAAAAGAAAGCTGAAGAAAAGGTAAGGAGAATGCAGAGAAATTTTTTAAAATCTTTTTAGCAAAATATTAACTTTAAAAATATTTAGGGAAAATATAATGTAAGGTTGCATAAAGAACCTTGTTAGCTCCTTTAAGACATAATGTATCCAGTTTTCATGAATAAAGATTTTTCCTAAAGTTTTCATCTTTTATCCCTCTAACCAACACCATTTTCAATTTACAGTCTGAAAGTAATATTATTTTCCTTTTAATGAAGACTTGGAAAATAAAAGAAAAATCTTGTATGAACAAAGAGTTAAAATATACTATAACAATGGTTCATATTTTTTCTCCTGTAAAACACCTAAAAGTCTGTGCAATGGCTAAAAATTTCCTCTCAACTAGTATTTAGTTGAAAGGCAGAGAAACAGAGAGAGTGAAGTCTTTCATCTACCACTTACACCCCAAATGCCTACCACAGCTATTGGCTGTGCCAGGCCAAAGCCAGGGGTCCAGAGTTCAATCCAGTTACAGAGGTTGAAGGCACCCAAGTACTTGAGCCACACCTGCTGCCTCCCAGGGTACATATTAGCAAGAAGCTGGAGTCAGAGCAGAGCCAAGATTCAAACCCAGGAACTCCAATATGGGATATGGGAATCCCAAGTTGCATCTAACTCCTGTGCCAAATATCTGCTCCCTTATTTAGTTTTTTTTTACAATGCCTAGGGAGCAAAAAAAATAAATCGCTATTCAAGAAAATATAATGTGGTATATTATTTGTGTATTATAAGATTATGGTTAAAGGGAAGTTGAGAAAACATATCTACCATTACTGTACGGCTTTCATTGGAACTTTTTATTTTTCTTTTAAATTAGCATGTAATAATTGTACATATTTACAGGGTACAGTGTGATATTTTCATATATGTATGTAGTGTGTAACAATCAAATTAGGTAATTAGCCTTCCTCGTGTTTAGCATTTCCTTATACTGGGAGCCTTTCAGCTCCTTTCTTCCAGTTCTTCCTAAAATATATAATAGGTTGTAAAGTGTAGTCACCTTCTGTGATGTAAAACAATAGAATTATTTCTCCCATCTAACTGTGTTTTTATTATTTATTTATTTATTTTTTATTATCTCCTCCCTCCTGCCTCCCTTTCATGGCCTTTGGAAATCACTGTTCTGCTTTCTTCTACTTTGAGGTTAACTTTTTAAGTTTCTATATATGAGAACATGCAGTATTTGTCTTCCTGTGCCCAGAGTATTTCACAAATTTAGGATTCCTAAGGATTTAAATCTACTGCGACCTTTGTCTTTATAATGATATAGAAACTAAGGGGAACATGTCCCGTGAAAATTGTGGCTATGCTGTTATGGACAAGATCACGTGCATCCTGACTATTCCTCTGTGGTTAGGGTGGAAAAAAGAACAGACTGTTCTTAGGATTGATATAGAAGGAGTCTGTAACAAACCTATTGTCATAATATAATCATCTTCTGGTCCAGTTTTCATTCAGAACTAAACCTACCTATATGCAACAGTCATCTGAATTTGAGGGGTGAACTAGCAGATGGAAGATCTCTCTCTCAGTTTCCCTCTATCTCTCTCTCAGACTTTAAAGTAGATGAAATTAAATGAAAGGTTTTAAAAATTACTGATTTTCAATTCCAAGTCCTGCAAGGAAGAAACTGACTAATGTTTTATGCCACAGTATTTAACATATTTACAAATATGCCAATATTAACAGTGAATACTTTTTCTGTAGCTTTGGGGAAAATATGTCCTAGGAAATAAAATGCCATTGAAAAGAGACTAATTTGTCATGAGCCAGTGGAGAAAATGGGTTTGGCCTAAATGACTTTAGTGACTTATGTGCAGTCTAATCCCTTGAGGAAATCCTGGACTTATTCAACAGATTTGTAACAAAACCACTCCAAGTAACTCAGAGATACAAGCTTCTTTCCCTATGAAAAATTTCAAATTCATTAGATTATTAAAGAGCAATATGATATAATAGAATCAGAAGTCAGATATTTTTGAGAAAAAAAATTGAAATAGAAAGTAGTAAACAAGTGGTGATAATTAAATAATAAATATAAGATAAATAATGTTCAAATAATAAAAATTAAAATTAGAAATAATAGCAAATAGGTGGTAAATATAAACTGACATAACAAGGAAAACTCTTTTCCACTCAATTACTTCATGTCACTCATTTAACTTGGGAAGATAGATGAACTTACATTGGAGAAAATAAATCTCCAGGAACTAATATTCAGAATGAATATTAGCACGAACCCTGCAAACCCATCTGTTTTACAATCCAAATCAATGAAGTGGAAAGATAATTATAACCTGTTGGAATGGAAGCTCTAAATATTAGCCCTTCTGTAAAATTAAAGAAAAATTCTTTCAGAGAAAAATTTCATGAAAGCACAATACATGTGATACAATGACTTTTGTCGGTTTTCATTGTACTTTTCTTGAAAAAGCTTCAGTCTATAAGCACAGGATATTAGCTAAATTTCAGGCCTTTATTTTGAATTCTAAGAAGGAGCTATTGCAAAGATCTGTTTAAGTATTGTCAGATATTCTTTTAGCAAATAGTACGGATCAGGTTATTCAGTTGCTAGTCATGGGCAAATTATAGTTTTTGTATTTGAAAGTTGCATAATCATTCTCACATTCAGTGTTATAATTTTCATAGGCCTTAGCAATTAAGGAAAGGATTGGCTATCCTGATGACATTGTTTCGAATGATAACAAACTGAATAATGAATACCTGGAGGTAAGTGTCTCTTACCAAGATTCTGGGCCAGTGAAACCTGGGGCTAGTGGCAATGTCATTGGTGCCTGTGGTGTGTCAGAGGTTATTTGAAGTAGCCTCAACACATAGGTCACATGACATACAGTCTTGAACACTAATGCTAAGGCTATGTTTGTTTTAGCCTTTTGTTTCATTAGCTTGGATTATATTTGGTTTGTGTTATTTAGATTTCCACATATTCCATTTTAAGACTAATCAAAATAATCTGGTGTCCTTTAAAGATCATGGGGGTGGACATCAAGGGGATGGACAGCAGGCTCCTTATCACAACTTACACAGCCGGAAAGTCCAAGTGGCAGATTTCCTTCCACTGCCTAATTATTCCCCTGCTGGATAAATGAAGTCCTGCCTCCTCCATTAAAAAAAACAAATCTAATATTTGAGAACCAGAAACTGATTTTATTCTCCCCTGGCAATGTAACAACCGGAAGAGAGTTGACTGGAGTCCCTGCAGCTCTGCTTACCTTGCGGTCACCACAGTCACGTAACACCTTGTGTCGACAGGGTGCTCCTTGCCGAGCTTCAAGGACGAAGATGATTCCTAGCCCTTTGATTACCAGCCGGTCATGGGGTTTTGTAAACCATAATGCCCTCTTCTCCCTTTCCATTTTCTGAAAACTTTGGCTTGCTCTTTTGCATGAGCTGGTTGCAGCTTGCAAGTCCAGGGAACTCTTATTGTGGAAGTGTGGTAGTTAAAATAATAGACTCCAATACCAGATTCTTTGGATTCATATCCCAGTTCTACTACTTATTTAAACTTGGTCAAGTGACTAAAATGTCTATACCTCAGGTTCCTCAGCTTGAAAATGGAGATAGCAGTCCTTGGTTCATAGAAAGATTAAATGAGGGCCGGCGCCGCGGCTCACTAGGCTAATCCTCCGCCTAGCGGTGCCGGCACACCGGGTTCTAGTCCCGGTCGGGGCGCCAGAATCTGTCCCGGTTGCCCCTCTTCCAGGCCAGCCCTCTGCTGTGGCCAGGGAGTGCAGTGGAGGATGGCCCAGGTGCTTGGGCCCTGCACCCCATGGGAGACCAGAAAAAGCACCTGGCTCCTGGCTCCTGCCATCGGATCAGCGCGGTGCGCCGGCCGCAGCGCGCTGTCCGCGGTGGCCATTGGAGGGTGAACCAACGGCAAAGGAAGACCTTTCTCTCTGTCTCTCTCTCTCACTGTCCACTCTGCCTGTCAAAAAAAAAAAAATTAAATGAATAATGTACATTTGAAGTACTTCCATCAGAGCTTGGCTCTTAAGAATATGCTGTTATCCTCATCTGTTATGTATGGCTGAATATCAACCCTTGGTTTCATTTGATTGATTACAAGAAAGTAGACCTGAGTCATGATTCAGCTAGGGCAGTACTGAACCGTAATATGGAACTAGGCTACTTGGAACTAAATCCTCCTTTAATAAGTGTTTTAATGTCCTTGGTTAACTTTGTGAACTTGAAAGAATGTAAGAAGACTAATGCATAAATTAAGTGGGTATGTGTTTTTTACCTAAAATTTTCAATATCTCACCAATTCTTTTGTATAATACAGCTGAACTACAAAGAAGATGAATACTTTGAGAACATAATTCAAAATCTGAAATTCAGCCAAAGCAAACAACTAAAGAAGCTTCGAGAAAAGGTGGACAAGGATGAGTATGTATATCCAAGTCCCTAAAATGCCAGTTCCAAAAAGTGGCTCTCTCTCCCTTACTTGTTGGAGTGAAAAAAGAGCTTGATAAAGAAAAAAAATGCTATAAATTACAGAATTCTCCTTCTATTGAGAATGTCTAAGAGCTGGAATTATAGTGTACTGTAGTGTACTGTAGATTCAGGTCAGCAATTTAACAAAAGTTAAGGTTTTTTCGTTAAAGTGTCCTCAGATTTCTCTTTATTTTTCTCTCCCTCCTATTATTGCCTATTCCCTCTCATTTGTTTGTGGGCAAGGTTCTCAAAAATCCTAGAGCTTCAGTAACCCACAGCTGCCTCTCTCAGTCCTTACTCTGTATCCAGACTTTTCTTCCGCTGCCAGCCCCACCTTTTCTCTATGAGTTAAGGCTCCAACCACTACCCCTTCTCTGATTGGTTCATGTAAGACTCATCTAACCCCATAATAGCCAAAAAGGAGATTCCAGGAATGACTCTTATAGTTAGCCTTCAGATGTTCTTAATCTCTGCTTATTAATGGCATCACCACTTCATGTTAACTACTATTTTAGTGTTTATTTTTCACTTACGTGTTGATCAGCTTGTGCGTCTGTGCACCTAAATCCCTAGAACTGCTTATGTTGACTTTCTGTCCCAAATAGCCCTGATAGGAAAGAGGTCATTCTGTTTGACTATCAAGTCTCAGTACCCAGCACTTGGAAAGTTCTCATTTAAAACTGAATGAGTGAATGGGCAAGTGAAAAATAAATGTACTAACTTGATTTATATAGTAACTAACACAAAATCGTGCCAAAGAGATGATTGATTCATTCCTGCACCCACTTATTCTTTCATTCATTGCTTATTTAAGCAATAGTTTGGAACACTATGTCCAGGTGTCACTGGGTACTGGGAGGGTCAAAGATAATCTTTGATTATAGCCACAGACGGCAGACAAGACATGATGTAATAAACAACCACAGGAGAGAAATACTCCCATTGTCCTGAGGAGGGTACAAAGTGCAGTGGGATTGATGACAACACTGTTCTGTTCTCAGTAAACCAAGTTCAGGTAGAGTAGAATTACTGCTGGAAATGCTGGTACATTTCAGTCTTACTCAACATTTTGAACTCTTGCGACACAGACATGCCTTCAAAGAGACTCTTGCTGACTCCTGGGTTTGTACTGGAGAAAATGTTGTGTTGTCTGCTATTAAAAATGGGGCTGCAGATATCAGAGATTGTTTAATTTCCCATCTGGAAAAGAAGGAAAGAAAGTGAATAGATATGGTTGATTCTATAATCAAGTTATCCAATCCTGTCTCTAGAAACTCACAAAAAGTTATTAAAAATACTCCTGGTAATGTTATGATCCAAGAAGTTTCATGTAAGTCTGAATATTTTTATCTCTTTAAAAATATATACCCTACACTGTTTCATAATAGCACCGTAAAGTATCTACAGACAAATGTCAAATATTCTTTTTGAAATGGCTTAAATATCTTAGCACCCATAGGACACCAGAAGATTTCTTCATAACTTTAAAAATAGTTGCTGAATTACAGCTTGACATTTTCTCTTGAAGTTAATATGTCTCAGTTTCATAACTGTTTTGTAATACAGTTTACACTATTCATTTCCCTTCCTTACATGGATTGATTTTCTCTGAATCCTTTTCTTTAAGATAAGCAATCAATGCCGGCACCGTGGCTTAATAGGCTAATCCTCCGCCTGTGGCGCCGGCACACCGGGTTCTAGTCCCGGTCCGAGTGCCGGATTCTGTCCCGGTTGCCCCTCTTCCAGGCCAGCTCTCTGCTGTGGCCAGGGAGTGCAGTGGAGGATGGCCCAAGAGCTTGGGCCCTGCACCCCATGGGAGACCAGGATAAGTACCTGGCTCCTGCCATCGGATCAGTGCGGTGCACCGGCCGCAGCGCGCCGGCCGCAGCGGCCATTGGAGGGTGAACCAATGGCAAAAGGAAGACCTTTCTCTCTGTTTCTCTCTCTCTCTCACTGTCCACTCTGCCTGTCAAAAAAAAAAAATGATAAGCAATCAAAAGCCAGAATTGCATGTTATATTTTAATGTTTGGGTGCTTTTGAGATCCTTTCCATAAGCTTCGGATAGTCACAGGTGCAACGTGACGTCTGAGATCTCCTTCCACACACAGTGCTAGCTTTTCTTCCTTCCCCATCTTCTTCCTATATACTGAATACAAAGGTTCAAAACTCCAGCTGCACATCAGAATCACCTGAGAACACTGAAAAAAAAATTACCGATTCCCAAGCTCCATCACCTTAAATTGCAGTGTAATTGCTCTGTGGCTGGGACCACAGATTCAGGTATTCCATTTAAGTACAGCACCCAAAGTTAGAACCTCTGAGTTAGTGTTCATTCCTTTTTATATTGAATCATCCTTGTTCATATTTAATGCTAAGGATTTTTCCCAAGATTATGCCTTTAATTTGGCTATTTAAGTTTAAAATTTATTTTTCTTTTCCAAAATAATTACAAACACTCTGACAGTAATGACATCAAATCACCCAGACCAAGCCTTACAGGATATAACAAAATAAAAGTTCCTCTTAATTCTACTGCAATAAAGCAGTGAAAGCTTTTGACTTCTTTTGCACTGGCTTAATTGTAATAAAGTCACTACCCTTTTCTTCTCCTTATTTCTTTAGCATGAAGTTCTCATCGTGTGTGTTCACACAGATAATACCTATTATTTCTACTTTGTTCACACAGCCTGTAGTTAGTTATGTCTCTGAGTATTGGTTTTTCAAATGCTGAAAGTTCTCATTCTAGTTTGTATAGTTTCTGAGCGTCGAGTGTATGTTTACATAATTGTCTCAGACATTTTGTGTTTCCAGAAATTTTATTAGTTTGTAAAAAGATTTAATTATGTCATGGTGTAGGCTAGAAATAGTGCTAAATTGAGAATATGATATCTGTTTGCAAAATCATTTAGTAATGTATCTAAAGTTATTTACTTCTAGTTACATGATTTTCCACTTAGAGTTCCTAGAAGAAGCATAAATCTCTAGAGAAAAAAACTACATAACAACAACATAAAATGAGTCTCTTTAGATCTGCTGTTGCTAGCTCTCAGGACAGAGCCTTCTGTGCTACAATAGAGGTGGTGCCAGCACTTGTGAATAATGACTACTGACCCCTGGAGTTACTTTTCCTACCCTACGAGGATTTAGTCCATTGCTTCATCTCCCATGTTGTTCTATATCACAATATACACACACTGATGTTGACACAAGCCAATTCCAATTCGATAAACGTTTGTTGAGCAACAACCATGTACAAAACACTGCCAAAGACGGTCGAGGGACAGACATTAATAAGATGTTGTCTTTCACTCCGGTGCCTGCAGTCTACTTACAGAAATTCAGTCTGATGAAAGACAGAGTTTGGTTAGTATTATTCTAAGGAGAAAAGCATTTAAAAAAAAAAAAAAAAACAGCAACAACAGCAAGAAAAGCACTTAAAAAACAGTTAAACCTGTACTTATTAGTAAAACATTCTCTGAAAAACAACATGTCAGCATTGAAATTAATATTGAGAGAAGAGGTTTCACTAAAACCAAAGCCAAACAAAAATGGTTGGTTCAATTCTGTCCTCCTCTTGGTGACTCCAAGCCTGCTGGGTTTTTTTAATATATTTTTTCTCTAACGGGGGCTAATGGGGTAAAACAAGTAGGACCCCAGAGGCTGATATCCCACAGCCGTGGTTCTTCCTGAAGCCAGCACCACACATACTGGCAGGGAGGTTGGCACTCTGTGGGGTAACCTCTTGGTTCTGCCATTGCCGTTGAGTCACTAATACACTTTTAGTGTCACAGTACTGCCAGTTACTACCTGTGGCATTTAAAGGCCATGTGGTCTCTTTATTTATAAAATGAGCAGGCTGCCCTAGACTGTCTGATGTGTCCAGGGTTCTTTCAAGCACTAAAACTCCATGGCCGTCACTGTGAGGTTTTGTGAGAGCCAGGATGTTTTCCTCCTTGGCTTTTCCATATTGGATTACCCACAAGAAAAAGAATATTTTCTTGAGAGGTCAGGAAGTGGCTCACCTCTTTCTGAAATGCCCCTTCTGATTTTTCCCCTTCACTGATGTTTCTGGAACAAGTCTTCTCTCTCAGTCTGTAGCATTCGACTTGGTTATCAGAAGAAAAACAGTCATGCAGGACAGAAAGAGGTCCGTGTGATGGCACAGACACAGAGAGCTGATAGACTGTTCTAGGTAGGGTGGGAGAATCTGTACAGTCCTGGAACTGGAGACCCAGCAGCATCTCGATAAGTTCAGATAGAGATTTATTTTAAGAAAAGATGGTTATTTGACTTAGCAAACATTACTCAGTCAGAAAGACTGAATAAGAAGTAGCTACACTAAACTAGAACAAATCAGTAACTTCCCAGGGCAGTCACTGTCACGGTGTGCTCATGTTCTGTACACATTGTAATAGATGGAGATTTTAGATTTCCAACTTTTATAGTACCATTAAGCCAACAAAGTCTGTGCAGTATGTTTTTGAGTTGTAAGCAAAATCGATTTTGTCAACAAAAACATGCCTGCTTTTTAATTAGCACCCAAGAAGGGGTTTTGTTTAGTTTTCTTTTTCAGACAAGGAAAGGAAGTGGGGAGGGAAAATGAAGAATTGAAAGGATGAAATTTTAGGAAGTTTTGAAAATTTTTAAAATAACTGTTTTAACCTCAAAGCAATAAAAAGGTCCTAAAAGTTCATTTAAGCTGGGAGATCTTTAAAAGAAATCTGATATGTATTTTTTATTTAGCCATGATCAAGAGAGTATTTATTTTATTTGAAAGGCACACACACACACACACACACACAGAGACACCTCTTGTTCACTGGTTCACTCCCTAAGTGCTCACAACAGGCAGAGCTGAACCTGGCTGAAGCCAGGAGCTGGGAACTCAGTTTGGATCTCCCACATGGGTGGTGGAGACCCAACTATTGCGTCATCACTGCCGCCTCCCAAG